CAACACACACCACGTAACACAACACACAACGCAACGCACAACACACAACACACAATACACTCCACACCCGCACACACCACACACCGCACAAGACATACACACCACACACCACACAGCACAAAACACACAATACACAACACACGCCACACACCACACACCACACACCACACACCACACACCCACCACACCACACACCAAGCACCGTAGACCGCACACCACAACACTCGACACACCGCACACCGCACACCACACACCATACACTACACATAACACAACACGCCACACACCACACACCGCACACCACACACCACATACCACACACCACAAACCACACACCGCACACCACACACCACACACCAAACACCACGCACCAAACGCCCCCACACGCTCGCACGCACCCGCTCTCTTCCTGTGGGCGCGTGCGGGTCGAGGTCGAGCCCCAGAGGAGCCCGCGCTTTCGCATGGGCGTTCAAGGGAGCGCTGGCGGCCCCGCGACGACAGATCGTGACCCGAGAGGCTCGTTGGTGCAGAAGATACCAAATCGAACTCATGCTGACGCTGGCCCGCCAGGAACCCGACGCTGCATCCCATGCATCGCCTTAGATAATACAGCCCACATGCGTTTCGCTGGCTTCTCGCGGCGGGATCGTGTGAATCACCCGTTCGATATTCCACGCGATCGATCTGCCACCTTGCCTTTAGCGAGACCGCGCGCAGGACCGATGCAACCCGTTCTCTATCTTCCGTGCAGCAGCTGCCGTTACAGTCGTGCCACGCTACACGAGATGAGGTATGGTCCATGGTTCCGCGGCATGGGCTACCAGCGGTGCAACTCTTTCTCCGCCATCTATTGACAACACTATTCCCTGCAGGAGTGCGACATCGCAGGCCCGCGCATCGCAGTCGTGATCGTGGATATCTGAATGGCAATGGGTGTCATTCGTTTCCCTCAGGCGCCGCGGGAAGCCGAGTTTCCCAGGTGGGCCGCCGACGTTTTCCCTGTTCTGCCCCCGCGCGCGAAGATACAGACTGCCAGCGTGGATCCCCAGTGGACCAATGCTGTCGGCAAGTGGTGCCTACTAGGTCCACGACGGAATCATCAGTGCATGTGCTTTTGTGTGCAGCAGTGGCGTATGCTGAAAAGCACAAATCTTACGCGGTCAGTTTGTACGCCAGAGGTCGCAGCGCGGTTGCGAGAACATATTCGGGGCATCCGATAACCAGACTGAGGAAGCTCAGGATGGTCCCGATACAATTTATTGCGGAAGCCCCTTGGGGCGTTGCGCGTGATGCTGGTTGCGATCGTGGGGGCGGAGGCCCTGGCGTTGGCGTTGGAGGCCCTTTTGGTTAAGTTTGGAGACCCAGAGTGCAACGAGTCGGATCTGCCAGCGCAGGGGGGAAAGGCATAGCCAATTGGTGCGACCACGTCAAGCAGGACGTCGTCGGCCACTTCGATTCCGGGGGCCAGCGCAGTCTCAGTCGATATGGGCCTCCAACGTCTTCCAGGGAGCTCCAGCCAAGTCCGACGCTGAGCGCAGTCGGCGCGGGCAGAGTTTGCAGTGCGCTCGGCGCCTTCGAGGGGCTTCAACCGACCTCTACTGGGGAGTTGCCCGCCTCGGCTGGCGGTTGCCCGCCAGGGTGGGCCAGTCGGCATCTTCGAGGAAGAGTGGCTCAATGTTTCTCTTGCGCGCTGTGCCTCGCGCAAGCATCGTGCCGCCTGTCCGCCCGCGCGGGGCCCGGGGGCGATTACAGGTTTCTTGAGTGGTGCAGGCGAGCAGGTCAACGATTTCATTTCAGGATGTTTGGGGCGGATGGTAGCATTGATGGTACTTGGTATTGAGCGTCTTCTTCGCTTGCGATGTGGGGGCCGCCCTTCGCGTTCGAGCTCGTCGTCGGAGTCGCGCGAAAAACTCTTGGGGCGGGCCAATTTCTGGACGTGCGAGCGCGACCTCATCGGACGCAGCCTTCGTGGGCCAGTGCGAGACAGACATGCGGGGCGCCGAGGTTCGCCGCCTGGGCGAGATCGTGGCCGGGGCGATGCAGGACTCGATTGTTCGCGCCCTCCAGGAGAACGGCGCGCGGTTCAACGCGCCGACGCGGGGTGGGGGTCCAGCGGCGGGCCGCCGTCGTCGCCGGGCTGAGGTGCGACCGCGACGGCGACGCGGGCGCCGCCGCCTACGCCAGCGGGGGGCGACGGCGGGCTCGCGAACATCGAGCGGAGGCCTGTCGAATCCCAGTTCGGGTGCACCTTCGAGCTGGATGAGGGCACGGGGCAGACGCTCGAGCGAAGATCGTGTAGCCCGAGAAGAAGGAATCTAATGTCGCCGAGCTTTCGAAGTGCTGTCAGAAAACGGCGCGGGCTGCCGCTGAAGCTCAATTTGGCGCATATAGAGCTGAAGGCCCCCTTCCCGCCCCAGTGGCGAGATCGGGGCCTCTCGCGTGCATGGCGTGCGATGGTCGGATGTATGTCGCGCGTGTCGATTGGGCGCGGTTGGCCAGTTCCCGGTTTCGCGTCGGCGCTCTCCCATGCAAATTGCGCGTTTCATGGCGCGGCCGCGCCCATCTTGTTCCCGTCGCCTCCGCGGGGAGTGGCCCGCGGCGCTGCGGCGGACGTCTCAGCCCTCGGGGCGAACGGAAGGGCTGTGGCAGCGGGTGTCGAGACAGCCTTCAGGCGCTAGCCAAGGTGGTGGTTTCCTCTTGGGCGTGCTTTTCCTCTTCCCCCCATTGCCCCTCCCCCCGCTTCCCCTCTCCTCTTCTCCCTTCCCTTCCCTCCCTTCGCGCGCCAGGGTCGCCTTGCTTGCGCCCCCGCATGTGGCGGCGCTGCGGGCAGTCGTGCAAGGCGCGCTGTCCTGCGCGAAGGGCCGCGATCTTGGGCGGCACGTTGCAGGGCCCCTGCCCGCCGCGCGCCCCCCTCTCAGCCCCGCGGAAGGCGCCCCCCCCTCCCCGGCGAGCTGTGCCCGTGGGCCGTTGCTGGCTGGACTCGCCGATGAAGACTGATCCCGAAGATTTCAGTTTGGCCCCATTGCGCTGCGTCTATGCCCTGCGCGGGGGGGCGCGTTCTTCCCGCGGGCGCGCGCGGCTCGAGGTCGGGCCCAAGAGGGGCCCTCGCTCTCGCGCGGGCGCTCGCAGATGCGCCGGCGGCCCCGCGGCGACAGATCGCGCCTCGAAAGCAGACCGGGTTCAGGCTGGCGCCTGATCACCGGGGGCCGGGCGCCGCGTCCAATGCGCCGCCTCGGGGAACACGCGCGCGCTCGCGCGCGCGCGCCCGCGCCCGCGCGCGCGCGTGCGCGTGCGCGCGCGCGCGCCCGCGCACGCGCGCGCGCGTGCACGCCGGCGCGCGCGCTTTCGCACGCACACGCACGCGCGCGCGCATGCGCACACGGACGCGCATGCGCACGCGCACACGCACATGCACGCGCGCGCGCCCGCGCGCGCACAGGCGCGCGCACACGCACGCGCGCGCGCACGCGCGCCCACGCGCGCGCGCACGTGCACGCGCCCACGCACACCTACGCGCATCTTCACGTGCGCACGCACACGCGCAGGCGCACGCACGCGCGCGCACGCGCACGCGCTCGCACGCGCACGCGCAGACGCGCACGCGCACGGACGCACGCACACACGCAAGCTCATGCCCACACGAACGCGCGCGCACGCGCGCGCGCGCGCGCACGCACGCGCACGCGCACGCGCACGCGGGCACGCACGCGCGCGCACGCACGCGCACGCGCACGCGGGCACGCATGCGCGCGCACGCACGCGCACGCGCACGCGAACGCGCACGCGCCTCTCGCACACGCGCGCCCACGCCCACGCCCACGCTCGCCTCCCACGCCCGCCCGCGCCCACGCCCGCGCCCAAACCCTCGCCCGCGCCCGCGCCCGCGCCCGCGCCCACGCGCACGCGCGCGCGCGCATGCACGCGCGCACAGACGCACGCGCACGCGCACACGCACGCGCACATGTACGGGCGCACGCGCACGCACAAGCGCACGAGCACGCGCGCAGACACGCAAGCGCACGCGTGCACGCGCGCGCACACGCGCGCGCGCACGCGCATGCGCACGCGCACACGCACGCGCGCACGCACAGGCACGCGCACGCGCACGCGCGCGCGCGCGCACACGCGCGCGCACGCGCACACGCACACGCACGCGCACACGCACACGCACTCGCACACGCACTCGCACACGCACGCGCACACGCAAGCGCACGCGCACGCGCGCACGCGCGCGCACACACACACCATGCACACACGCATTCACACACACACACACTTTTGGCGTCGCGGCCCCGCGCGCAGTGCCAGGGCGTCGAAGCACACATGCGCACGAACGTGCGCACGAACGCGCACACATTCACACGCACACGCACGCACGCTCGCACGCACACACACACACACGCAAACACCCATGTGGACACGCACGCGCTCACGCACGCGCACACGTACACGCACACGTACACGCACATGCACATGCAACCGCACCTGCGCACGCACGAGCGCTGGTTCTCGCGCGCGCGCCCGTGCGCCCACCCGCGCCCGCGCGCGCGCCCGCACGCGCGCGCGCAAGCAGTTTGGAGAGCAGTAGCTTCACGAGGGCTTGATGGAGCTTGTGACACCTTGGACGACCCATCTGGCGTGCGACCCAAAGTGTTGTGACATTTAACCTCAGCGCGCGATTGCGTGCGCGCGTGGTTTAGTGTCATGTATGACTGCGTGAGTGTGTGTGTGAGAGAGAGAGAGAGAGAGAGAGAGAGAGAGAGATTCCACGTATACTTCGTATGTATGCAGCTACGCATGATCTGGAAGGTCCCTCGCGGTAGAACTATTGCGGGACGCATCCGGGGGGAGTTCTCAGGTTTTGAAGTTCGAAGGAGGCGTAGAAGCTTGCATTCGTCCCAAGTGGCTGCGCCTACCAGCACCACTCCCGCTGCCGCAGGGAGGACGCTGTCGGCGGCCGCTTCCGGCCGCTCCGCCGCCTCCCCCCCCCCCGCGAAAAGGCAGCGCACGCGCCACCGCGCCCCGCGGTGCCGACGCCGCAGGCCCCTTTTCGCCTTTTTGCCCGGCGCCCACCCCTCGTCTGGAAGGGCCCATGCTTTGTCGTCGTCGTCGTCGCCTTCCTCGTCGAAGTCGACATCGTATTCGTCGTCCTCTTCAGAAATATGTAGTCTGAGCTTTCGTTATCCTAAATATCTTATTGATCAAGGGGGGGGTGATAAACGTGAAAACGCGGCGCGGCCAACCCCCCCCCGACACTGCCCCCCGAATCCGACCCCCCCCCGCACGTGCGCGGACGTTCTGAAGCCCCCCCCCTGGCACGTCAACCCTGGGTGCACTTGACTCCACCCCCTGGATAGTATTTTTCGCAAGTGCACCTGGCACCTCTGGCACCCCCTGGCACCTCCGGTATTTTTCCCACGTTCTGAAGCCCACCCCCTGGCACCTCAACCCTGGGTGCATTTTCGCAAGTATCTTCGTGCACCCCGCCCTCCAATTTCCCACCATCTTCGATCAATGTGGTCAGCGCTGCTCTGGTCGCCTGCTGCTGCGCCGTCCTGGCAGAGGTCGCCCGCCGAGCTTGTACGTATTGCTTTGTCTTCTTTCGGGCGCGCGGGGACGACAGAAAAGGGCTTACTTTTTGCATTACTGCTTTATCCCAGTCCCACTTCTCATCCAAGGTGGCGTCCTTGCCAGGCGCGCGTTCGGCAATGTGCAAGAACTCCTCCCTCGCTTTGGTGAGTACCTCCCCCTCGCACCCCATCCGAATCGAAACCCCAGGAAACCCCCGCCTCCCCCCCACTTCCAGGGCGCGTCTAAGGATCATGCTTGGACAGGGCCCCACAGGAGCCACCGACCGAACGCCCCAGGGACCGCTTCCCTGAGGATTCGGAGGAGGAAGGGAGGAAAACGAAAAGGTACAAAGAATTGAGAATAGTGGAATGTGTGAGCACAGGGCATGGGGTTTCAGGACGTTGGGGGATCGTGGCCACGACATGCCGTTCACTGTTTTGTCGGTTTTCTTCAACGTTTGGGCAGGGACGCCTACGAATTTAAATTTACGGGCCAGGATTCTAACAAGACCCCCTGCTCATCATCATGACTCTCCCTATGTTATTCCTCTCCCCAATATCACCATGATCATCGCCAGCATCACCACCACCATCGCCACCATCGTCATCATAACTATCATCATTTTCCTCACTGTCATCATCATCATCATCATCATCATCATCATCATCATCATCATCATCGTCATCGTCATCTTCACGTCCCTCTCGCATCCTCTTTTTTTCCTTTCTCTCCTCCGCACCCTCTTCCCCTCCTCGCACTCCTCCGCTATCTGACTCCGCAACGAGATTGACGAATGATGCATAGTACATAAGTGTATATATACACAAAGAGAGGGAAAGCGTAACATAATGATGGCATATTCATTTGCTGTTCTTGTTGGCATTTTGGGAGCCAGTGCACTTCTTCGCGTTTCTGCTCGGCTTCCATCTTGGCCGCTTCTGCTTTCTCCACCCGCTGCTCTTCGGTGAGCCTCTTCTTTGGGAACTTGCTTTTATAGCGTTGGGCAAGCAACGCGGGCACCTCCCCCTGCTTGATGCACAACGCCTCATGGACGTGCTCTTCATCGGCGAAGTGTAGAAAATCTTCGTCTTCTCTTGCGAGGATTTCTTCTTCAGGGACGCGTGGGTCCTCGAACGACGCAATCAGCTCGTCAATGGAACTTGGGATGTTGTGCTTGCATTTGCTGACCAAGAAGTTTGCTCCATCTTTGAAACCCTTCTTCAAGCAATCCCTTGCTTCCCTGCGCCGGAGAGTATCCTCCAGGTATCGGGATCGCCATCCCTCCACGTCGGTGTCCCCGCAGATTCGCTTGTCCTCCCACCATGGCTTCAAAGTTGGGTCCAACAACTCATCGCGGGCTTTGTCGAACGTCAGGTTGATTCCGCTCCTGCCGAGCATGGGCGGGGCGAGGTTGCGCGTGGACAGGCGAGGGCAGGTCAAGAACCAAGCGGTGTTTCACTGACTAGACAAATAATCGACTGAGTATCCCCCCCCCTATTTACAGAAAAAACGAGATGTTCCTATGTTGCCTCCCAATTCCCTCTACTCTCTGTCCGCATTCCCGTGATAATAGCCTCTGTTGGGGGCGCTCCAATGCGAAACCTTTCTCATCGTGGAAAGGCGTGGCCCGGGCTTCTGAAACATGCCATTGGGCCTAGGGGCATGCACGTTGCACGGGCGGGGTGAGGAGGCGCGGATGGGAGAATACAAGACTTTGCACGAAGGGATAACATAATGGCCACAATAGAAGGCGTCATCCTCGGGAACTCGCCGGCCATTTTCAAGTGCACCTTGTCTTCCTCCATCTGTTTAGTCGCCTTCGCAGCTCTGTAGAGCAGCTCCTGGCGAGTCAATTTCGCAACACTTCCTGGGTGCTTCGTGAGTTTGTCCGTCAAGGCGTTCGTCTCGATCATCTGTGCCCATGCTTTGTAGTCCTGGTTCTGGCGCTTGTCCGCTGGTTGCACCATTCCCGTCAGGCTTCCCCAGATGACCACGGGAATCCGTCGACGAGAGATGCACTCTTTGATATCTTCGGGAGTCAGCTGGCCGTCCATTTGATCAAATAGGAGGCCACGCCAGCCCCCCGTCCTTCCGAACACACTGGCCACGGAAGTCGTAGGATGTTTCTCCTGGCCATGGGGATCCAAGGGTATCAAATACATATTTCAAGGTATAGTTGATGCCGTGCCGATTGTATCATGTCTGAAAGTAACGCAAACGTTGTGGCCTCCACAGCTGCGTTGTTCCGTCCGGACAGCCCCAGAAGGCACAACGATGGCTCAAACAAATTGTTCCAACGCGAGTTTCGGAGTCTTCCTTGAGGGCCACTCCAAACGAACATTCCCAAACCCCTCTCGGGGCTCTCTGGCAACTCTCTTGGGCCCGCCTTGAAGTCCTCTGGAAGCCCTCTTCGACTCTCTTGGGGCTCTTATGGGGCCTTCGGACCTCTCAGGGGCGGCATGCCAGGGCTCCCCGAGGGCCCCAAGAGAGCCTCCGAAACATCCCCGAGCAGCATCAGCCGAACAGAGCCTTATAGTACTATTGGTGGCTGTTTCGGGAGCCTTCCCACGTCCCTCCAACAAAGGGATCGGGGTGGGAGGTGCAACGTGCGCTCACATGCGCAAATCACTCCCATGGGGGCTGGTTGAACCCACGTTCCTTAACCATATCCAGCGTTGTCTTCGCATCGTACGAGCCGCTTTCGGAGAACTGGGCGATGATGTTTGCTGGGAGTCTCTTCAGGTCAATGTCTTTCAATCTCGTGGGCTCCTTGGCTTTCAGGCACAAGTGAGGTTTACACACCTTGCCGTCACTGCTGCAAAATAAGACGGTCGTGTGACGGTCGTGATCCCCAGTGCTGTCCTCCTTGGGCCCCACCGCGTCGGTCCCCTCGTGGAAGCAGCTGCCACGCTCGAGTCACGACACACGCGATACGAAGCGCGCACGGACACCACAAGCAGCACAGTTGAGGGCACAGATGAGCACACAGCACGCACCATGCGACACACGCGAGCGGCACGCACGGACGCGAGCAAGCTCGCACACACACAAGCACACACACAAACACATACACACACAAACACACACACAAACACACACACGCACACGCGCGAGAGCATGCGATCAGACGCACTGCCACTCGCCAACATTCAGGCTTCGAGGAAATAGTGGAAGCCACGACCTTTGGAGCAAGCATCTTGCCTGTGCTCAGCCTCCGGGTGGTCGGAGCGTGGTCGAACGCGTCCCAGCGCACCTCTCCTGGGTAGAAAAATGCGGCCAGGCGAATGCAGTTGCGCCACAGCATTCCCAGCCTTCGGCGGCATTCCTCATACGAGAGCGTGTGCGTCTGATTTTTACTGCGATGGGATACTTCGAATCGATTGCGCCAGTCCCTCAACCACTCACCGAGCCATTGCCCCCGCCGATCTTTAGGAAGCGCATCGGTTCCACCTGCGGCAGCGCAGTTCGCGAACAGGGTCTCCGCTTTGCCTCGGAGGAGTGCGGGCGTCACTCTGCCTGGTTTGGGGGCCAGAGAGTTTAGGGAACGATTTTTGGAGAATGCAGGGGAATATGTCAAGGGGGGATGGTTGTAGGGAGGAGGCCTTGAAGCTCGAAGTACGCTTTGATGAAGTAATTGTACAACGCCTGCCCGATCTCCGCAACCTTGATGTGTCGTCCAGCTCCGCGGAGCCCGGTGCGGACGCTGGATTGTACAGGAACCCCGCTTAAAGATCCACCCTCGTATGCCTCCTGCGCTCGGCGCACGACGTCCATGCGTGCGTTCTTCACTTGTTTGGCCTTGTCGTAGAATAAGTGCTGCATCTGGGTGTACTTGTGGTACTGGATGCCGTTCACTTGTGGGGTCAAGGGCTTTCATGCCCAATCCACCGTGGCAGCCACCCAGTCCTTGGCCCGCGAACCGCTCTTGAACAGGTGCGCCTGTTCGCCCAGAATTGTACGGAACGACACGGTGTACTCGTGGCGGCTCTTTTGGTTCACTGAGCCTTGTATTTTGCACCACCGCTGGAGCTTGCTTGCGTCGAGCTTCCCAAACATATCCTTTGTCAACATCGGGGGGTACAAGTAGCCAATATCAACAAAATTCATGAAGAAGAGAAGAACATGTCAATATTGTTCAGCACGTAGCTGGTACACGAGGTACAGAATGAAGAAGGAAAGGCTGCCTCAGCCGCCCTGGGGGGGCGGCCCGCTCCTGACCAGGTTTCTGCCTCTGTCTACTTGTTGAAGTAGAGCAACGTGCATACCCTCCACCTCCTCTCTCCTCTCCTGAGATTGGCTGCTGCTGTCTGCCCCTCCTCCTCCTCCTCGCCTGTCCTCGGGGTGATGGTTACCTCCCCCTCCTCCTGCTTGCCTTGCGTCAGGGTGGCTGCTGTGGGCGTCGCTGCCTCCCCCTCCTCCTCGTCCTCCTCCTCTGGCTCCAGCTGGTGCGGTGCCCGTAGGCACCGGCCTCTCGAGCTCTCTGCCTGCGTCCACTTGCAGTACAAGATCTGCGTGGTGCTGGTGCTGCTGGCTGCTGCTGCTTCTGTGCGCGTGCCTTGCGTCAGGGTGGCTGCTGTGGGCGTCGCTGCCTCCCCCTCCTCCTCGTCCTCCTCCTCTGGCTCCAGCTGGTGCGGTGCCCGTAGGCTCCGGCCTCTCGAGCTCTCTGCCTGCGTCCACTTGCAGTACAGGATCTGCGTGGTGCTGGTGCTGCTGGCTGCTGCTGCTTCTGTGCGCGTGCCTTGCGTCAGGGTGGCTGCTGTGGGCGTCGCTGCCTCCCCCTCCTCCTCGTCCTCCTCCTCTGGCTCCAGCTGGTGCGGTGCCCGTAGGCTCCGGCCTCTCGAGCTCTCTGCCTGCGTCCACTTGCAGTACAAGATCTGCGTGGTGCTGGTGCTGCTGGCTGCTGCTGCTTCTGTGCGCGTGCCTTGCGTCAGGGTGGCTGCTGTGGGCGTCGCTGCCTCCCCCTCCTCCTCGTCCTCCTCCTCTGGCTCCAGCTGGTGCGGTGCCCGTAGGCTCCGGCCTCTCGAGCTCTCTGCCTGCGTCCACTTGCAGTACAAGATCTGCGTGGTGCTGGTGCTGCTGGCTGCTGCTGCTTCTGTGCGCGTTGGTGCTGCTGTAGCGGTCCTGAAGGACGGCCGCACGGATGCCGGCCATCATCTTGAGCCTCCTGCTGAACAAGCGGAGGGCGGCGTCATCCTGGGAGAGTGGCCAGGCCATCCTCCGGGACAGGCTGCTGATGGGCATGTCGATGCCCGTGCGGAAGCGCTCGAAGTGGATGCAGCGCCAGAAGTCGTGGTGGACCGTGGCCGCCTCACCTCCCGCGCACCGCGTGCACATCGGCATCGGGTCATCCTGACCATGCTGATTTGCGAAGTTCCTGGCGTCCGAATGCACTGCCCCAACGAGCACTGCCACCTCGTGCGGGTTCACCCCAGCTCTGAACGAGGTGTGCACCTGCTTCAGCGCCTTGTCGGGGAAGCTCACATTCTCCTGCTGCGCCATGCGGGCTTCCCGCCGATCCTGCTTCTTGAACGCCTCCCACTGAGAATGGCGCAGAGCACGCCGCAAGAAGTGGAGTCTGGCCTTGCCCGGGGTGCGAGCAGTGATGTCATTATCCTCGTCGAACTGGTGTTTGAAAACCATCTCGTCTTGGCCCTGGGGCCCCTCCGTGTCAATCAAGATCCAGCCCATCAGGCCCATGGTGTGGATCAGGGCGGAGTAGAGCCCAGGGAGGGTCAAACCCTGCTGGTGCCACCTCCGCAGATCGCGGTCGACTGCTGCATGGCCCTTCCGGCGCCGCCTGGTGTCGAACACCTCCCAGAGCCGCCGGAGCTGCGCGTACACCACGTTCGCGTTGTGACCCACCACCACCATCTCCAAAAGGTGTGGTGAACCAGTGCCCCAGCACCGTCTGCCTCGGTAACTGCACACTGCGTGCCGCGCTGCCGTCTGTATCCGGGCCTGGGTCCCCTTAGGGAGGCACCGAGTCAGCATCCTCCATGTCAGCGTCGACATTGCGGAGCCACACAGCAGCTGCGTCTTTTTCCCAGGACCCAGGGGCAGCTTCTTGATGTTCGCGGCGCGAACCAAAAATGTACCCACGGACTTCTTTTCCCTCTCGCTCAGCTCTCTTCTCGGGATCAGGTCCACCCCAAGCAAGGTGACTGATGTAGCTGGCTTGTACTCCTGACGCGGCGCCCTCCGGCGGGCCCTCTCGTCTGCCAGAGGGTGGCGTGGGGGGGCTGGCGGCGAGCTCCTGCGGTGGGTGCCCGCGTCGTCGGCGTCCTCCTCCTCCTCCTCCTCCTCCTCCTCGTCTGCCTCTGCTGCGTCTGCGTCGGCCTCTGGCTCCTCCTCCTGCGCCTCCTTTGCCTCTTCCTTCTCGTCTGCCTCTGCGTCCGCCGCCGGGCCGCGGCTGTCTGGCCCCGTCACTGCGGTCTTGCTGCGTACGCGTCTGCGCGTCGCCTGTGCTGCCCGTGCTGCCTCAGCTGTCCCTTCCTTCTCCTCCTCTTCCTCGCTGCGTTTCCTCTTCTGCCTCCGCTTGTGCGCTGAGAGCCTGCCGTCCCAGCCGCCAACATAGGCCTGCCAACGGCCTGTTCTGCCATCAACATGCATGTTGCACTGCTTGGACTGGTTGGAGGCCATGCCGGTGACCGCCTCGAAGCGACGCCACAGCCCGTCGATGAACTCGATGGTGGCGAAATCCTCTGAAGCGGCTGCACGGTCATCGGCATATACGCTCAGTACAGCTTCTGCCTGGCCCCCCAAGGACCTGACCGCTCGCCACACGACCGGCGCCAGCAACGTGGCCATCGCAGCCATGGAGGCAGGGTCTCCCTGCGGCAGAGAATTTGAGACTGCAAACGGCGTGGGGTGGACAACACCCGCGAGCTCACAATAGCGTATCTGTCTCTTCCAAGTGCTTGTGATTGACGTCACCACACACTCGTCTACACCCAGTGCACACCACAGCTCCGCCACCAGCGCCGGGGACACGCTGTCGAAGGCAGCCTGGAAGTCCCAGAGCCTGACGTACACCTGCCCGTCCTCCTCGGCGAGGGCCTGTTCGATGCGATCCAAAATGCCATCGAGAAGGGACTCCAGGGTCCGCCTTGGGATCCCGCCAGCCTGGCACGGGTGGAACACAGGAATAATGTAGTCCATGATCTGCCGCGTGCGAAAGCGCATCCAGAAGCGCCACACGACTGAAGCGATCGCAATCGGTCTGAAACGGTCTAGCTGTGGATCTTTCTCGGTGTCCTTTGGGATGTGGACCTGCCGCCAGCGCACCATGGCCTGCGGGAACTGCGTCTTCTCAGCGTAGAGGCACATGTCGGCGAGCTCCAGGAGAGCGGCGTCCGGGAGCGCCAGGATCTCCTCCGCGCTCCATAGGTCCACCCCCACCGACTTGCCACGCATGGGCTTGAGGGCCCGGCGCAACTCATAGATGTTGGGAGCACTGAAGCGACACTCCTCAATCGCCGAACGGGCATCCAGCGGAAGACGGCCGTGCTCTTGCGCAAGGCGTGCCTTCATGAAGTCTATCTCTGCCGCGTACTCCCTCAAAAAGGCCTGCGGGTCTGCGCCGCCGGTCATGCTGCTGAAGTGGTCCTTCCAGAAGCCGGACAGCACCTCCACCGCCTCGGCGCCGTGCACCCACCGAGGGCGGGATTGCCTGTCTTCGTCGTCGCCTCTGCCTCTGCCTCCTCCTCCTCCTCTGCCTCTGCTGTCTCCTCCTCCTCCTCCTCCTCCTCCTCTGCTGCCTCCTCCAGAAACTGCCTCAGCTGCCTCCTCCTTGTCTGATGCGTCCTCCTCCTCAGCTGCCTCTGCCTCCTCTGGCGCCCGGGCGGGCACGACGAAGGAGCACGACGGGGCCGAGTGCGCGGCGCCCCTGACCCATCGGTACACGTAGCCCTTCATGTCGTTCAGCTTCCGGCGCCATGCGGCCAGCCGCTCCTGCTTCTCCCGCAGGTGCATGTCGTGCAGGCGCTTGGATGCGGTCTTCTGGCGCGCACGAAGCCCGGCGCCAGCAGGAAGCCCGAGCCGCCGGCGCAAGATGGCCTCCTCCTTCTGGAAACTCTGCCGCGCCGCCCACGTCTGGCGCCCGGCTTCCTCATCCAAGGCCACGTACCGGCGAAGCATGTCCTCCTCGGGCGAGAGCTGCAGGTGGTCCGGCAGGATGTCCGACGGCTTCGAACGCTCTCTGATCTTGGATTGGTGCTTCCATCCTTTGGAGGACGGCGTGTCCGAAGCGCTCCGAAGGGCACCCTCAGCCCGGCGCGTCCACGACGCCCACCATTCTTCTGTCGTTGCAAAGGCTGCGTCTGTGTCAGTGCGCCAAGAGTCGGCGACCCGCGCTGTCCACTCCTCCCGGGCCTGGTCCTCGTCAGGGGCCCGGTACGACCTCGGCTTCTCCCATTGCTTCCCTCGCTCGTGAGCGTGCGCACCAGCAGGAATGCTCATGTACACTAAGTAGTGGTCTGCGATCGGCACGTCAGAGGTTCGTGCACACAAAGAAATACCCTCCTGAGCCCGCGCCAAGAAATAATCTATGACACGCCTCCCCTGGCGCCGAGTCGGCCGAGCACTGGCCACCGCCCGAAAGCTGCCGCCGCACATCCCCTCCATGTCCAGCTTGTGGGGGACCTCGTTGAAGTCGCCGGCCACGAAGGCGGTGTGCTCGGAGGGCCAGGCTGCCAAAGTCTGTTCAATCCATTCTTCCAGCGCCAGCTTCTCTGCGTCAGAGGATGCCGAACGTCGGTGTATGTTGCCCACGATGAAGGTCGAGGAACCTGCCGTTACGACGCCAATGGCCGCCTCTCCGCCGGCCATGCGTGTAGAGTCGATCAGACGGAACTGACAGTCGTTGTGCACCAGGAAGCAGAGGCCCCCGACGCATTCTCTCGCGGCCGGGTGTAGCCGCGTACCGGCCTCCTCTGCCAAAGTGCCTTTGTGCAGGGTAAATCTGGACTGGCGCAGCGTAGACTGCTGAGTGATCAACTGCATCTGTGTCAGACGACACTCCTGAAGCATGACAACATCGCACTGGTGCTGCACGACGGCGTTGAGCAGGGCGCGGCTGTGTTCATGCCATGAACTGACATTCGCGGTGGCGAGAGTGAGCTCGCCTGCCTCGTGCGGCGCGGCGGCCGCCTCCGCCTCAGCACCGGGCAGCGACCCACCGTCTGATCTGCTGCGCAACCGCCTTCTTAGTGAAAGCGCCTCCGCTGAGGCCGTTGACGGTCTCGACGGTCCGCTTCACCAGGTCTTGGATCTGCTGCTCCTCCGTCGCAGCCCTCGTCTGTGCGACCAGGTCCGCCGCCTTGGACAGCGCCTCCCATTGCTGCGGAGACATGGGCGTGCGACCCTGGTCCCAAAGCTCCTTGAGGGCGGCCCTGTCTGCCTCAGTGGTGTGGTGCCACTTCCAGAGGTGGGTCTCGGTGCGCCAGAAGAGGCCCCCGTCGGCCAGACCCTTGCACCGGAACTCCGCGACCTTCTCCCCGTTCACGCACATCGGCCACACGCCGAAGCAATGGATGCACGTACGTTGCCGCGACGGCGCTCCGTTCAGGTGCGTCCGGCCCGCGGGGGACTTGTTCTGCTCCTTGCCCCAGATCGCCGATCCGAGCTCCACGACCTTGAAGTGGTGGCCGTTGATCTGTCTGTCATGCCATGTGGACACAGTCCGCTCTTTCCACATGGCCTCCATCCTGCTAAGGGTCTGGGCCTTAGAAGTGGCAGGATGATTGAAACCAATGCTCTTGTTCGAAAAACTCTCGTATTCCAGCTCGTCCTTGTGTGCCTTCGACCAATGGTGCTGCAGGAGCCGCGTGCGCACCGGCTGGGTCACCAGCGGGGCGGCGGTAGCGACATCACACCCAGGCATCGGACACGACCACGTGCGAACCTCCATGGGGATGCCTGTGGCCAGGTGGGCGTCCGTGTCAGAGAAGACTGTGGGATCGAGAACGTTCTGTCTGGCAATGTACAGCGTCGGGATCTCCTTCACCCTGGGATCCCCGCGGTGCTTCATGTACAGGTGGCTCGCCTTGATGGACTGGATCTTCCTGGGGTCGGTCCGAACGTACTGCTTGTCACAGAGCTTGCAGACCCAGCTGAATCTCTCCGCCACTTTCTGCCCAGGTCCGGCAGAAAAAACGGCCCGCTTGCCCTTCAAACGCCGGCGCGGCGGGATCGCCGTACCAGCCGTTCCAACGGAGTGGATCCTGATGAACGCCGTCCTGACCATGAAGTCGGCCTGCTTGCCGCGTAGCCGCCGGTGCGTCACGGGAGCCGTGCCCGCCGTGGACGCGGGGCCAGCAGATCGCGACCCGATCGGCGGGAGCAGGGAACACACTGAAGCCGCCCTGCCGTCCGGCACCTGTCCAGTCGGCCGCGGCGGCGGCAGGAGTGAACACATGCTGTTCCTCTCCTCCTCCTCCTCCTCCTCTGGCTGCACCTCTCCTGCTGGAGGGCACTGGGTTGAGGGCTGCACTTCCGCGGAGCTCGTCGCCAGCGCTGGCACGTGAGCCAGGCGACTGCCCCTCCTCCTCCTCCTCCTCTTCCTGGCAGACGCAGAGCCTGTGCCAGCAGCGCTGCACCTCCTCACATCTGCCTCCTCAGTCTCCTCAGCCTCCTCCTCCTCGGCTGATGCCTGCATTTCCTCGGCCTCCTCCTGTGGCGCCGCGCCGGGGGGAAGCTGCCAGTGCAGGTCGCCGGAGTGGCCTGCATTGCTCCTTACCTCTGCCTCCTCCTCCTCCTCCTCTACCTTCTCACCCTCAATTGAGTTCTCCTCCTCTGGCTGCACCTCCCCTGCCGGAGGGCACTGGATTGAGGGCCGCACCTCCGCGGAGCTCGACGCCAGCGCTGGCGCGTGAGCCGGGCGACTGCCCCTCCTCCTCCTCCTCCTCTTCCTGGCGGACGCAGAAACTGTGCCAGCAGCGCTGCACCTCCTCACATCTGCCTCCTCAGTCTCCTCAGCCTCCTCCTCCTCGGCTGATGCCTGCATCTCCTCGGCCTGCTCCTGCGGCGCCTCGCCGGAGGGGGGCTGCCAGCGCAGGTCGCCGGAGTGGCCCGCGTTGCTCCTTACCTCTGCCTCTTCCTCCTCCTCCTCCTCTACCTTCTCATCCCCTGCTGCGGCCCGTCTGGACCTCCCCGCCTCCTCCTCCACAGCGGATGCCGCCGTGGACCCAGATGACGGTGCAGAGTTGCCGAACATGTCCGAGTCGAGAGTGGATCCTGGGGGGTCCACGCCTCTCCTCCTCTGAGCCTCCTCCTCAGCTGCTGCCTCATTGCTCCTCCTCGCCTCTTCCTCTCCTGATGCCGCGGCTGACCCAGACGTCGTCGCAGGCGCGGCGTCCAGGCCCATGTCCACGAGGAAGTCGTCGAACCTCCCCGCTCCACGGGGCATCTTCCAGGCCGCCTTGACAATCTGAGCGACGGATTGCCTCTTCTTGGCCAGTTCCGGCCCTCCCTGGGCCACTCGAGGGATGGCCGTCATGAAGTGCCCCTGCTTGTACGCGATGTGGATCGTCGGCTGCTGGTCCGCCTTGCGCGCCGCCTCCGGGTCCTTCGGGTACACGTGTGAGATCTTCGTCCACCTGCTGCGGCCTGCGGGCGCCTTGGCATCCCACGCGAGCACAATCAGGTTCCGTTCCAAGTAATCCACGCCGCCCTGGAGGCCGATGGCGTCGATCCAGCGCTTCTCCCGGTCCTTGATAGCCGCCAAGTACGCCGGCCAGGACCTCGGAATAGGGCCGTCCTCGATGACCCTGTCCTTCAGGGCCTCCGGGAAAAAGAAGGGCTCGTAGTCCTTCGAGTTGTCCTTGATCTGCTGGGCAATGTAGCTCCGCATCGTCTTGCCGATGGCGGCGAGGCGCTCCTTGGTCAGGACGTCCGCGCGCTGTGTGCCAGGGCGGCCGCCGCGTAGGACCCACGCCAGGCCCATGGCCCGGTATCCGCAGTCGCCACCGTTCGAACCTGGGTCGAGGATCTCGAAGGTGCCGTCGCTCAAGTCGCTACGGGCGGTCCGGAACTCGACCTTCACCTCCACCCTCGGTTTGTCCTCTCGCCTGGGGGACCGGGAACCCCTCCGTGCTGCTGCCCGGTCCTCCTCCTTTCTCCTCTGCCTCCGCTCCTCCTGCCTCTGCTGCCTCTCAGCTGGGTCTAACTTCGCGTCGTCCTTGTCCTCTGCCGCTCTCCTCGCGTTCTTCGCCTCCTCTGCTGCTGCCTTCTTCGCTGCCCTCTCCTCCTCCTCCTGGGCCTTTGCTGCTGCCTCTGCAGCCTGCCTCTGAGTCTCTGCGTCCTCCTCGTCCTCCGTGGGCTTGGGCTTGTGCTGCCACGCCCAGGCTGTGTTCGCTGCAGGTCTGGTTGTCGTCGAGGCCGTCTTCGGGTCACCCCGCACGAAGCGTCGTACCTCGATCACGCTGCCCCCTTCGCCGACGGCGATGGTCCAGGCGTCGGCGGCTCTGTACTGCTCGCTTGGGAGCCCTTTGACAAGCCATCCCTAGCGGCCCCGTGGTGCGGCCACGATGGAGGCCTCTGTCCAGCCACACTGTAGCAGGTAGCCAGTGACATCCTCTGCGCTCCAGTACCTGCTCACGTTGCTGATCCGCCAGGTCGGAATGCGGGTCGTGCTGGGCTCAAGGGCCCTCAGCCCCAGGAAGGACCCTTCCCCTTTCCGCCTGGCCAGGCCCTTGGCCGTAGCCTCCGCTTCCTCCTGCTCCAGAGCCCGAGCGTAGTAGTTCAGCTCCGACTCCCCGCGCAGGCGCGTGATCCAGCGCACGGGCTGATCAGCCTCCGTCCGCTCCCGCCGCAGCTGCTCCCAGAAGGTGCCCTTGCGGCCCGTCAGCTTGTCGATGACCAGCTTCGTCTCGCCTTGGAACTTCAGGTAGCCAGTGATCTTGATCACCATCCCCTTGTCGTTCAAGATTTCCGTGAAGTTCTCCACGGCAACCAAGCGCTTCTTCATGTCGTCCTCCAGGCCCTCGCAGACCCATGCTTTCGGCTTTGCCCGTGCCTGTCCCCACTGGGGGGTGTCCAGGAGGTCCCTGTGGATGCACACCCGCACGCTGGACAGGGCGTCCGTCGAGACCGCCTTGGCTGGGCCAGTCTGTGACTTTGCGGCCGCGGTACGAGCCGCGGGCGAGCCATCTGCCTTCAACACCTTCAGGTCTCGCAGACCCGGCTTGCCATTGATCAGCACGCTGACCTTCTGCCACTGGGTGTCGTCGTCGGCCCCGTCCTTAGACCGGACGGAATCCTTCAGGATCAGCGTGAGGTCGCACTCTCTGAGACCGTGCGCCTCCACTAGCCCCATGACCGTCTCCGCTTCCGTCTCCGCGAGGACCACGACCTGGCCGTCAGGCGCGGTACCCTTCTCCAGGGCCTCCCGAACCTGGGGAGAAGTCAGGAACTTCGCCAGCTTCTCTCCATGCTTCCACTTCGTAGTGTCCACCCGCCATGGTGGTGCGGCAGCCTGCGTAGCCGCAGGGCGAGGCTCCGCCCCAGCAGGCTCCTGGGCGGACGCCGGCTGTGACTTGGCAGCGGCCTTGGCCTTGGCCGATGGCTTGGCCTTGGCTCGGGCGTTGGGCTTGGCGGCGGCCGCAGCCCTCTTCTGTGCTTTCCTCGATGGGCCACTGGCCTCAGTGACCAGCGTCTTGATGAGGGCCTCCAGGTTCCTGAAGGCAAGCGTGATGGCCTCGAGCTTCCCGTTCTCGGCCTTCTTCCTTGCCTTGGTACGCTTCCCCCCAGCAGCTGCCTCACCCTTCCGCCTGGAGACCCACACGCCGCCGCGGGGCACGTCCAGAAGGGTCTGGCTGGGCAGCGTCGGCGTCTGCTCCTCCTCACACGCGGTGCCGCCAGGCGTCTGCTCCTCCTGCTGCTTCCTCTGCCTCCTCTGCCTCCTCTGCCTTCTCTGTACCTTCCTCTGCTTCCAGGCCTCCGCTGCCTCCTCTGGATGTTCCCTCTGCCTCTGGATCTCCCTCTGCCTCTGGATGTTCTGCTGCTTCCTCTGGATCTCCTCCTGGTGCGCCACGTCCGGAGGGCCAGAATCTCCAGCAGCCAGTTGAGGCACTTCGCGATCCCCTGCGTCATGATGTACGGGAACCTGCCCAGCACCACCATCAACCAGCGGGGCAGCAGGGTCGGTCAGGCACGCGTCAGGTTTACACGGCGAACACCGCTTCGAGCTCAGGATCCTCTGCCTGAACCTTCCGCGGCGCACCGCCAACGCAGCCAACAGGTATTTGTAGGTGCCGTCGTGCTTGGCGATCTTCAAGACCCGATAGACACGCATACAGCGACGGCGCACTTTCTTCTCAAGGATGCGGTCGTAGAAGCCGGTGAGGTTAGACCCGTCCTCCTCCGGCTGCCCTGCGTCTACGCCCCTGTCGAAGATGATGCATGCAAGCTCAATTACGCACACCAGCACGATGACCCCCATCGGACAGGAATGCGGAAGTGAAACATTCAGAACTACCCCAAGATTGTGTGAAACTGCAATCCCCAGATGTGTATTGATGACTCGTGCCGTGAGTAGTCCAAGAAGGAGCTCACACGTCAGGTCGAAGATGAAACTCCTGTCGTCGGAGTGGGTAAACCACACTACGAGAAGTAGGAGTAGAAGAAAAACACGTCCTGGAACTAGAGCCGTTCGCGGGGAGCTCGAAACGCTCCCGCCCACCACGCCCACGTGGAGGTGGCTCTCTTCGTGGTCCTTTGTCAACATCGTCTCTGCGTCCATGAGCGTCCGCACCACCTCATCTTCTGGAGGAGGGTCCAAGCGTGACGCATCGGCCACGATGGAGGGGGCATACCACAATGGCAGCGGCGAGATCGGAAGTTTGTCTCACGTGTTTGACAACGCCCTCACCTTAGTAACCGTTGCTTGGGCCAGGAAGGAAGCGGAGAAGAAGATATGGGAAGCCATTGACCCCACAAGTGAACGGCATCCAGTACCACAAGTACACCCAGATGCAGCAGTTATTCTACGACAAGGCCAAACAAGTGAGGAACGCACGCATGGACGTCGTGCGCCGAGCGCAGGAGGCATACGAGGGTGGATCTTTAAGCGGGGTTCCTGTACAATCCAGCGTCCGCACCAGGCTCAGCGGAGCTGGACGACACATCAAGTTTGCGGAGATCGGGCAGGCGTTGTACAATTATTTCATCAAAGCGTACTTCGAGCTTCAAGGCCTCCTCCCTACAACCATCCCCCCTTGACATATTCCCCTGCATTCTCCAAAAATCGTTCCCTAAACTCTCTGGCCCCCAAACCAGGCAGAGTGACGCCCGCACTCCTCCGAGGCAAAGCGGAGACCCTGTTCGCGAACTGCGCTGCCGCAGGTGGAACCGATGCGCTTCCTAAAGATCGGCGGGGGC